TCTTTTTTAAGTGGGCCAAATTCACACTAAATGTAGACTGATCCCCAAGAGGGTCTGACCTTGAAACTTCTGCAAGCTGCTCTGGCAAGAAATAACTAATTATTAAGTCTCCTTTCCACTGCCTGATGATAGTGACAAATTGTTGAGCTCTGAATCCATGCCTGACACCATGCTATGTGCTTTATATATTTTTTTATTTAATTCCTACAACAACCATGTAAGTATCATTAGTTCACTTCATAAATGAAGAAACTGCAGTTTGGAGAAGATAAGTAATTGTCACATGGGCCAGGGATTTAGCTCCGTGGTGCCATGCCTGCCTTGCAAGCACAAGGTCCTGAGTTCAATCCTCAGTACCGCAAAAAAAAAAAAAAAGTAATTGTCACATAATCATATAGCTGGTAAATAGGAGAGCTAGGATTCATTATTCCAACCATTAAATATTTTTTGAAAATCTTTGAGATACGATTATAATGTCTACATAGCTAATATTTTATTATAAAAAGATACTTCATTATAAGTAAACTTCTACCTCTTTTAACTTCAAAGTATACTTCTTTTCTATTTAACTTTGCTTTCATAGATATTTTTACTGCAGTTAAACTAATTTTCTTCATTCTTGAAGTCAAGCCAGGTTTCAAAACACACTTAGTTCTCCCAGTTCTCCCGGTTTTTATATTGCATGAATACCACTCTGCTGAATTCCAGTATGACCCTCAGGGCCCTCTCCCTCTGTTTTGCTGTTCACAACCCAAGCCTGAACTTCTCCTCTAGGGTCTAAGATTCATATCAATATTTTTTCATATTCTTCTTCTTTGCTTTTTTTCTTTATTGTTATTTTTTAAAGAGCAAAATACTGTGTAACTAGTCCACAGGGACTACTCACCTGGCTAGACCACATTGACACAGATTTCCTCATGAACTGGAATTCTGACTCCCCAAGAGCGCAATATCCCAGGTCACAAATGACAGAGGGCTATATAAACAACATGTTTTGGTTATCTCTTCTCTCTCTCTTTTTTTTTTTTGTGCCAGGGATCAAACTCGGGACCTTGTGCTTGTGAGACAGGCAGCAGAACCACTGAGCTAAATCCCTGGCCCCTGGTTATCTCTTCTCTTAAGGCTGTTAGAATGACAAAAAGAAGAAATATTGTGCTAAATCTCTAAGACTCCTCCATATTATTTCAGAGTAAATCAATTTAATAAGTACCCAGCTTGGTGATCAATAATTTTTCCACTGTTGCCAATCAATATCAAATACATAGTATTAATACAGAAATAGCTATAAGGCTCCCTTCTAGCTAAGCAACTGCCCTTTAATACCTCATTGCCAACAATTATATATTTCAATATCAAATTATTCTATCATTTGTTCAGTCCATAACACATAATATAAAAAACTGAAAATATGTCAGATTACCCTCATGGAAGTTAATCTTCTTAAATTTTTCATAACTGGAACTCTACATCCCAATTCAGTATCATTTTTGCTTTACATTTTTTCTTTTATGCTTCTAGCTCTGTATCATATATATACATGACAAATATGATGTACATGTCAAATATATTGGGGTATTAAGATCAAATCCCTCATACTAAAGCAGCTCCTACATAAACTTCTACATATTGTATAAATGGTTCTGAAAAAGAATAGTAAAAAGGTTATTCCAAAAAGTCAATACATTTTTAAAGCTCTAATTTTCCAATTTCAAAGAGAAAAAATTCATCACAGCCTCCTGGACAAAGATTAGGAATAATTTGTTTTATAGTAAATTTTATTCTTAATCAAAATTATGATCTACAGTCAAGATCAATTTCAATGTTGACCATTAATAACTTACCAAATGTATACTGATATCACTTTGAGGGGTGCTATAGATTGATCCCTGGACCTACCACATGCTAGGGACATCATCTAAAGCTGAACTACATTCCCAGACCCCAAATTTTACATCTGTTATAGTCACGGTATTCTAAAGCTGTCAAATTACTTCCCAGCCACCAATATTAGTTCCTAAATTTCCCTAAGATTTAGTCAAAATAATTTCAAAAAGTTTCCTTAGCATCCTATCTAGCTAATAATATTTTTAACAATGACTCTAGTTATATTCTGGATTCATACTAATCACCTAGATTCTAATATTATCTTATTATTATATACCTAATTATACTGTATAATTGAGCAAAACAAAATAACAAACAAAAAAATCTATTGACCATTTCCTAAAACCTTTTAGCCTTTGGTCTTTTCCATCCATTCATCTTCTATCTCCGCTCCTTACCTGAACTGTGTCATGTCAAATGGTGTTATTTCTCTTACAAAGCTGTGTTTCAGGCTGTTCATTTTCCTTTATTCATCCTTTCCTATATGTCAAAATCAGGTTCACATCTTTTTATCTTTTACTAAATCCCTGGAGTATTATTTTACTATCTTGCCTCAATAGTTTCTTTTTCTTTTATCATGCTCTCAATGTTAAATGTAAATCTTCAAGTAACTCCTCTATATTCACTGATGACTTTGATATAACCTGTTTTCTTTTCCTCTTCTAATCCTGAGAGCCTTCCTTAACCCCATTGATGATCTAACTTCCAAACCTCACAGGTCTTTGACATCTCCTTTTATAATTTATTTTTCTCAATTCCATTTCAATCCTCCATTTCTGTAGTGACACCTAGAATGGTTCCACCTACAAAACCAGATTCTGCTCTCTTCCTATTTTTCTACCTCTTAGGAGAGGTAGAATTATACAGTATGCTCCCTGAATTTACCCTTCAACTTCCTCAAGGCCTTTAATTCACTAAATCTCTTATGTATTCTCCAAGGCCATTATGTCTCTTTGGACTTGATTTCCTTTTCTACCTAGGTAAGATTCCATATACAGTCATATTTCAATGACAATAACCAATACTCTCAATTCTCCTTTCTCCTTGATGTTTTTTTTGGGGGGGGGGGGTACTAGGGATCGAACTTGGGACCTTGCGCACCCACCATAACTCTTTGTCAATCCTTACCCACAAATTAACTGAATTGTTTTTATTCTCCATTCCTGTTTACAGATTACAAAATACTGCTGAATACAATCCTATAATCCTGACTACATTTCCCTTCCAGAAAATTGATCCTTCACTGCTCTCAGAATGATCTTTATTTTTAAATTGACAAACAAGACTATATATGTTTATGATATACAACATGTTGTTTTTAAATATCATGGAATATGGAATGGCTAAATCAAACTAACACAGAATTACCTCACATATTTATCATTTTTGCAGTAAGAACACATAAGAATGATCTTTTAAAACACAGATCACTTAGGAATTCTAGAGTGGCAGAATCAGTAAATCCTCTCTTCCTTAGAGCAATGATAAAACTGTACAAAATTATCAAAAACAATCATTTCAGGACTCAAGAAAGAGACTAAAATTAAACTAAAAAATGTTTAAGAAAACGTATTGAATCTTGATTAAGAATAGTGGGACTCTGGGCCAGGGATTTAGCTCAGTGGTTCCAGCACCTGCCTCGCAAGTGCAAGGTCCCGAGTTCGATCTCAGGTACCAAAAAAAAAAAAAGAATAGTGAGACTCTATCATGTTTAGCCTGAGGCAGCTCCCATTTCCCCTCCCAAATCTCTTAGAGCAGATTTTATAAGAACAGAGCAAAGCAAGCCACAAAAAAGCAATTTGGCTGCTTGCTGGGATTTACTTGACCAGGAATGAGTATACATAAAAAAGGTCCCGCCAGGGATTTAGTTCAGTGGCATCATGCCTGCCTCACAAGGACAAGGTCCTGAGTTTGATCCTCCATAAAAAAAAAAAAAATTTTAATTAAAAAAAAAGGTTCCATGCCCAAGGATGTTTGAAGTAATAGCAAACTCAGTGGCATATAATCAGGGAAAGCCAACATCACAGTTACCTGAAGTCACAATGTTGGTTGGCACAAGCAGTGGAAAAGCATATCTGTCAAAGGTTTAACAGAGAGATAAAAAAAAAAAAAACAGCTACAGTGAAGCTTGATAAGCTCCCACAAAGCCCTGGTGGTCTAGAAGACCATGTGCATGTGCAAGGCTCCATTCAAGCTCAGGGTGCCAGAGAGAGCCCTAAGTATTTACATTTCCTTAGTTGAATGTGAGGTGATGCACAGATACAGGAGACTTGAAAAGCCCTAGCAAAACATAAACCAGGGAAGGCTTGAAAACTCCTTTAATTTTGAATGTGTTTCTCAATCCACATACAATTTCATTAGAAAAGTGTGGAAGACATACTGGTCATTGGTGTTGAAAGAGAGTTGTTAATAAATCATTGGCTGACCACTAACCTATCCTGACCTAAATATGATATATAGGAAACCAGGCTTAGAAATAAAAATAAGTTTTTAAAAAAATTTGAGCAGAGGGGCTGGGGATTTAGCTCAGTGGTCCCACCGCCTGCCTCGCAAGTGCAAGGACTCAAGTTCGATCCCTTGTACCAAAAAAAAAAAAAAATACATGCACATCCATGTTTATAACAACACAATTCATAATAGTTAAATCTTTTTCCCCCAGCCCCATAATAGTTAAATCTTGAAAGCAGCCTAAATATATATGAACAGATGAATGGGTAAAGAAAATGTGGTATTTATACACACTAGAGTACCATTCTGCCATATAGCATAAATTTGAGTCATCTGTAGGAAAATGGGTGCACCTTGAGACAATAATGTTAAATAAATCAGACACACAAGCTTAAATATCAATAAAGAGCAAAATAGAAGATTGATAATAGAAAATGGGAGACAGATCTTTCTCAAAGGGAAAGGGAATCAAGACAGAGGGATGGGGGAGGGAAAGAGGATGAAATAAGGAATTAAAATGTGTTACGTACATGTATCAATTCCACACAAAGAATATAAATATTATGTACTTCAAACAAATACTAATAAAAACTTTTAATTAAAAAAATTTTAAATAGATGAAACTTGCAAACACTATGCTAAAAGAAAGTCAGACACAAAAGACCACATATTATATTATCCCATTTATATGAAATGTCCTGAGTGGGCAATTCCATAGAGACAGAAAATAGATTACCAGCTTCCAGAAGAATAGTGTGGGAGAGGAGATGAGAATCCAGTAATAATAAATATGGGGTGGGGGTTTTTTTGGTGTGATGAAAATATTCTGAAATCAAATAGTGGTGATGGTTGTAACCTTGTCAATATACTAAAACCTAAGTAACCATGTTAAAATACTGAATTTTATGGTTTGTAAATTATACTTCAATTTGAAAGAAAATATAATGCTAAGTGCAAGCAGCCAGATGCAAAAAGCTGTACAGATTATAATCCCATTCATATGAAATCTCTACAAAAGACAAATATACAGAGACAGAAAGGAAATTAATGGTTTCCTGAGGCTAGGAGTGGGAATGGGGACTGATTACAAAAGGATACAGGGGATCTTTTAGTCTGATGAAGATATTCTAAAGCCAGGCTGTGGTCATGGTTGCACAACTCTATAAATTATTGAATTATATACTTATAATGGATGGATTTTATAAGTTATAAAAAAGTATACCTCAGTAAAAAAATTTTTTAAAAGAGATTTTTCTGTAATTTAAAGCCTGTGGTTATCTTCTGTAGTTTACAATTTTGTGGTGGTTTCCAATTCATGGCACATCTCTGCTGTCACTGGTAGATAATAAAAGCAAACAGAGCCCAGATCTATGGCTGGATGATCTCAGTGAGCCTTCAGTGGGATTAGGGTGGAGTGCTGGACAATCCCAGCAAGCCTGCAGTAGGAATAGTGCATGTTGCCAATTCTGGTCCTTTCAACTCCACAGAAGTTCAAGGTGATCTTGGCCTCTTGTTGTGGGTTTGGGGTCTGAGTTGTTCAGCTTACAACACTCTCTGTGTCTCTTGTTGGCCTTACTTTGGCGCCTTGATCCTGAATGTCTCCTGTAGTTGTGCCTCACACAGTTCCTAGGAGCCCTGAGATGAAGCCAACCCATGGCTGCTCTGAGTCCTGGATTCAGTTGGCCGTTCCCTAAAATGGTGTTTGGCCAACCACCCTCTCTTTGGGATGTCTGAAGTAGAGTCACTCACCAGCTCTTCTAGTATACAGCATCCACTGTACCAGTCCACCAGTGTGTTTCTCACTGGAAGCCTCTGAATTCAACACCCCCCCACACTTTGTCTTTGTAAATTCCATCCTTCTCTGTCACACCACAAGCCAGGAGTCAGGGAGAAAAGGCAGTTTCCCACTTCCTTTATGCATTGAGGTCTGTATCTTCATTTTCCCTGTAGGCTCCAATTCTCCCTTCAGATCTTTTCTGGGTCCCAGGTATCCATCTCCCTCCTTCTCTTCTTCAAGTTGTTATATTCCAATGTCTGTATTCTGAATCTTGGAGAGGCTGATTTGCTGCTGTTTATAAATGTCACTGCAGAAAACAAATATTAAAAAAAGAAAATGAGAAGACACAGAAGCAAGATGCAACCCCAGAATTCCAGCTCACCCAAGGCAAATCCAGGGGACAGTGAGGTGGAAGAAATCAAAAGACATTCAGCTGAACTTTCTGAAATGGTAACAGCAGAAGTAACAAAGCTGAGGCTCTAGAAAAAATCAAATCAGAAATAATTTCTCAGATAACTGAAGAGATGATGATCATAATAAAGGACATGGTTAGTGAATCTAAAGTAGATACAGATAAAAAAAATACTAACATTGGAAAGAACTGGATTCCATAAAACAGATTCAAACAGATATTCAGGAGATTAAAAATTCTATTGAAAGTATACACAGCAGAATCACTCAATGTGAAAATAAGACCTAGAAGACAGGTTTGTGGTCAGAAATCATCAAATGAAAAAATTCTTAAAAATAGCAAAGGAGGGCCAGGGATTTAGCTCAGTGGTCCGCCGCTTGCCTCACAAGCACAAGGACCCAAGTTTGATCCCCAGTACCAAAAAAAAAAAAAAAATAGCAAAGAACCAAGAAAAATCAATCCAACACCTACTAGATGATGCAAAGAAGAATAAGATTGATCTGAATCGATGAAAAATCAGAAGATGTCACAAAGAACATAAAAACCTGCTCACAGAAGTAACAGCAGAAAACATTCTAAGCATGGATAAAGAATTTCACATATAGATAAGTGAGGCATATTGAACTCTAATTAGCCATGATCAGATAAAACAACACTAAGGCATATAATAGACAAGATTCCAGAAATTCCACACAAGAACAAAATATGAAAAGTGGATCATAGCAGACTTCTCAACACAAACCCCTAAGTCAAGGAGAGTTTGAAGTGAACTGAAGTATTTCAAGCACAATAAGCAAACATCCAATCAAGATTGATGAACTCCACAAAATTATCTTTTAAAACTGATGGAGAAATAAGATACTTCCATGAAAAGAACAGCTGAAGAAACTCATGACCACCAAACTAGCAGTCTAAAACGTTCTGGAGAATATTCTAGAAAAACACAAGGAAGATAAGAATTCCATGAATCCAAATAGAATGAATTCACCAGGCAAAGCAATCAAGCAGAGAGAAAGAAAGAGAACCAGCAACAAGAAAAATTATGACAAGGTAGGTAAATACATATCAGATATAACCATCGAGGTGAATAGTCTCAATACACCAATCAAAAGAAATAGATTAGCAGAATGGATCAAGATCCAGCAATATGCTGTATACAAGAAACACATTTAACTCAATAGGAAATTCATGGACTGAAAGTCAAATGATGGAAAACAATACTCCATGTGAAAGGAACCCAGGAAAAGCAGGGATAGCTATTCTATTTACAAACAAAGTGGATTTCAAGCCAAGACTTCAAGAGAGACAAAGAAGGTCAGTATCTACTTCTTAAGGGAACAATGCAAGAGGAAAAAATAATCATAAATATATATGCACCAAATACCACCACACACAACTATATAAAACAAACATTAATGGATATGAAAAATCAACTGAGCACTAATATGACTGTAATGAGGAACCTCAATACCTCAGTCACAAATAGATCAATGGGACAAAAAAATCAACAAAGAAATATCAGAGCTGAACCAAACCTTTGAACAAATAGACTTAGTAGATATCTACAGATACTCTTCCCCACAACAACAGGAAACACATTCTTCTCAGCTACACATAGGACTTTCTCCAAAACAGACAACATACTAGCTTATAGAACATGCTTTTTTTGTTTTGGTTTAGTTTGGTTTGGTTTCACTATGTAATTCAGGCTGGCTTTGAACTCGCTATGTAGCCCAAGCTGGCCTCAAACTCATGGTGATCCTCCTGCCTAAGCCTCCTGAGTGCTGGGATTACAGGCATGTGCCAACATGCCTGGTTTAGAACATGCTTAAGTAAATGCAAAAAATTGAAATTATCCCGTGCATATTATCAGATCACAGTACAAAGAAATTGGAAGTCAATGGCAAGAGAAACCACAAAAACTGCATAAACACATTGAAATTAAATAACACCTTCCTAAACAATCAATGGGTCACAGATAAAACTAAGAAAAAATCAGACAGCTTCTATAGTTAAATGATAATGCCAATACAACACACCAGAACTTAGGGGATGCAATGAAAGCAGTCCTATGAGTGAAATTTATAGGCATGAATTCCCACATCAGAAAAACACAGTGAGCTCAAATAAATAACCTAATGTTGAACCTCAAGCTTATAAAAAAAAAAAAGAAGAAGAGCAAGTTAAAACCAAAGAATGTATAGGAAAGGAAATTGTAAAGATGAGAGCAGAAATTAATGCAATTGAGACTAAGAAAACAATACAAAGAATCAATGAATTTAAGAGCTGGTTCTTTGAAAGATTAAATAAAATAGACAAACCCTTAGCCAACCTTATCAAAAAAGGAAAGAAAAGACCCAAATCCATGTAATTAGGAAAGAAAAGGGTGAAATCACAACAGATCCTGCAGAAATCCAGAAAATCATCAGTACCTACTCTAAGAAACTGTACTCTAAGATGGAAAACTCAGAAGAAATGGACAGATGCTTAGATACATATAAATTCTAAATAATCCAATATCAGTCAATGAATTGAAGAAGTAATTTTAAAACTACCAATAAAGAAAATCCCATGTCCTGAAAGATTCATTGCTGAATTCTAATGCCACAGCCTAAAACTCTCTAATGAAACTGAGAGGGAAGCAATATTCCAGAAGTCATTCTTGGAAGAAAGCATTACGCTAAAACTAAAACCAGAAAAGGATCCAACTAAAAAAGAGAACTACCAGCCAATCTCCTTAATGGACATAAATATAAAAATTCTCAATAAGATACTGCCAAACACAACACAATAATTGATCAAGAAGATTATACACCATGACCAAGAGACTTCCAGGAAAATGGTGGAGTGGTGAACAGCAGAGAAACAGCCTCTCAGAGATTTTGTATTCTGACACTAAGATATAGTGGCATGAGGAGGAGAAGAAAGAAGGAAGTGGGTCCCCAGGACCCAGAAAGGATCTCAAGTGAAAATTAAAGTCCACGGGGAGAGCAAGGACAGAGATTTCAATGAAGAGGAGGGAAATAACATGCGGCATTTTCTCCCTGAGCCAGGACACATGGTGTGGGAAATGCAGGCACACAGTGACTACTGGCAACCCTAGAGGCCTCCATGGAGCAACGTACCAGTGGAACAAAGCAGTGGATGCAGCAGACTGCAGTGGCTGGTTAGTTATTCAGGTTCAGATGTCACCCAGGAAAGGATTATTAGCCAGTAGCCATCTTGGAGAGGGGACAATTGAGCTTGGAACTCAGAACAGCTTCTGGCCAACTCCATCTAGTGGCTCCCAGTGTCTTGGTGAGGGTGCCAAGTTCAAGTCAGCAGAAAGTCAGGGAGCAAAGTTCAAGTTGGAAGGGAGCTGAGTTTAAACTGGCAGGAAGCACATGGACAGTGGCAGGCTCAACAAATCCAGTTCCAGCCTCATAGCCAGAAACCAGCCTGAACTTCAGCAGAACTAAAGATGCAGGCTGACTGGGATTATCCACTACCCCACCATAAAGCTATGGCTGGGTTGCTGGGATTAATCAGTTCGGCTCTGGACTCTGTCTGCCCACACTGTCTACCAGTGACAGCAGAAAGAGGTCTTGAATTGGACTTTATTTTTCCTTTCCTTTTCTTTTCTTTTTTCTTTCTTTTTGCCTCTTTTCTGGTTCTTGTTTTGTTTTTTCTTGAATCTTTGGACATGGTTTCTAGTTTTTTGTTGTTGATGTTCCTCTGTTCTTTTCTTGTTTTTATTTTTTCCTTTCTCTTTCCCTCCTATCTTCTGCACCAGTTTCCCAAAGTTTATATGATCTTTCTTTGTTCTCCAGGCTTGTTTCTAATGACTTCTTCTTCTTTTTTTTCTTTTTTTTTTTTTTTTGGTACCAGGGATCGAACTCGGGTCCTTGTGCTTGCAAGGCAGGCGGTGGAACCACTGAGCTAAATCCCCAGCCCTCACTTCCTCTTCTTTTATTTCTCTATTTCCCCCACACACACACCAGCTCCTTTCAAATCTTCTCCCCTAAGGGTAAAATTGCCATACTAAGGGCTTATTTATTGCACACAATTTTCTAGTTCATTTTAGATTTTGTTATATAACCACAAATAGTTCATACAGTTAAAGATGACAAATTAATAGTTACCACAGTTTGCCATTTTCTAGGCTATATTTGATGCTATTGTTATTGCTGATTGTACTACTTCAGACAAGGTGACATAATTGTGCTAATCAGTTGTTCTTCATGATATACCAAGACTGAGATTGCCTAAGGGTCTTTAAAAAAAGACTATAGGCCAGTACCAAAGAACCAGCAGCTAGGCCAAGTAGGCAGACACTTCTCATTCCCAATAAATTGAAGAGGTAGCATCTTGCACAAGCTCAAAACCCAAAAGCCAGCTACACCAGGAAGACACCTCTGAGAAGTAGTCATTTCCTAAGAGTTCTGAATACTGGCAATAAACCTACTCGCCATAAGCAATTTACAAGCATCAACCTAGGAATTAAAGTTTTTAAAAATAGAAAATGAGAAGACACTTAAACAAGATGCAACCCCCCCCCAGACTTTCAGTTCACCAAAGGCAAATCCAGGGGGCAATGAGGTGGAACAATCTGAAAGCCACCCCTCTGTACTCTCTGAAATGGTAACAGTGGAAGAAACAAAACAGATGCATGAGGCTCTAGAAAAAATTAAATCAGAAATAATTTCTCAGGGGCCACGGATTTAGCTCAGTGGTTCTGGTGCCTGCCTCAAAAGCACAATGTCCTGAGTTCGATTCCCGGTACCAAAAAAAAAAAAGAAAGAATTTCTCAGATAACTACAAAGATGGTAACCAGAATGAAAGATATGCTTAGTGACTCTAGAGCAGATACAGATTAAAAAAATAGACAACTCAGGAAAATGATGGAAACTATGAATGCCCAGCAAAGGAATGAAATAGAAACCATGAAACAGATTCAAACAGATGTCCAGGAGATTAAAAATTCCATTGAAAGTATACACAGCAGAATGAGCAAATGTGAGGACAGAATATCAGATATAGAAGATAGGATTGTGTTTAGTGATCATGAAAAGAAAAATTTCTTAAAAGCAGCAAGAGACCATGAGAAATCAATCCAGCAGCTCCTAGATGATGCAAAGAAGAATAACATAAGATTGATCGGAGTCGATGAAAAAGCAGGAGTACTGCAAATGACATAAAAAACTATTCACAGAAATAATGGCAGAAAAGTTCCGAAACAGGGAAAAAGAATTTGACATACAGATAAGTGAGACATATAGAACTTGAATTAGCCATGATAAAAAAAAAATCTTCCCCAAGGCACATAATAGTCCAAATTCCAGAAATTCAATACAAGAATAGAATATGAAAAGCTGTTAAAGTGGGCACCCACCGGGGTTCCCCGTGGCTGTCGCCGCCGCCACCTGCGCTGCTACCTTCGCCTTCCCGCCCAGCATGGGCCCGGGCGCCGGCTCCCCCTGGCCTCCTTCTAGGCTGCAAGTATGATTGGTTGGGCTTCCTCCTGAAACTGGACTCTAAACTGCCTGCTGAGTTAGCCACCAAGTACGCAAACTTTTCAGAGGGAGCTTGCAAGCCTGGCTACGCTTCAGCCCTGATGACTGCCATCTTTCCCCGAGACATTTGAGGTGGTAACTTTGGAGAAAGAAGAGGAAAACAGAATGACATTGCTTGGGAATACCAACATAAAAGGGATGACTAAGTGGAAGAAATGATGGAAGAGAATGAGGAAGAATGGCCAGAGAAATTAGAGAAAATCAGAAGAGAACAGAATTTTGTTCTCTTCAACATGGTGGGAGGAAATGTTATAATATTATGAGTATAAAATGTGGATTCCATTTGATCTAACAGTCTGCTTGTAAATTTTCAACATAAGGAAATAATCATATCTGTGCACACATTATTGCAATATGCTTTTTGTTGTATGTGTATAGTAATAGCAAAAAATTGGAAACAGCCAAAAAAAAGCTGTTAAAGAAAAGCAAATCGCCTATAAAGAAAAGCCCATCAGAATCACAGCAGACTTCTCAACACAAACCCTCAAGCAAAGGAGAGCTTGGAGTGAAATATTTCAAACCCTAAAGGAAAACAACTTCCAACACAGATTGATGTACCCCACAAAACTATCTTTCAAAATTGATGGAGAAAAAAGATGCTTCCTTGACAAAGAACACCTGAAGAAATTCATGACTCCCAAACCAGCACTCCAAAATGTACTGAAGGATATTCTAGAAAGAAATAACAAAGATTACAACTCCAGAAACTCCAGCAGAATGAATCTACCAAGCAAGGCAAGAAATTAAACAGAGGAGGTAAGAAGAGAGCCAACAACAGGAAAAAACATGACAGGGATAAGTCAATGCATATCAATTATAACCATCAATATTAATGGTTTCAATTCACCAATCAAAAGAAACAGACTGACAGAATGGATCAAGTAGCAAGATCAAACAATATGCTACATACAAGCAACACATTTAGTTCAAAAAGAAATTCATAGACTGAAAGTCAAAGGACAGAAAACAATATTCCATGTGACAGAAACCTGGAAAAATGCAGGATTAGTTATTCTACTTGCAGTCAAAGTGGATTTCAAGCCAAGACTGATTAAGAGAGACAGAGGTCACTATATCCTTGTAAAGGGAACAATCCAAGAGGAAGAGATAACAATCATAAATATATATGTACCAAATAGCAGTGCACCCAACTATATAAAATAAATATTAATGGACATGAAAAAAATCAAATAAACACTCATACAGTTTTAATGGAGGAATCTCAATACCCCACTGTAAAATAGATCAACTAGACAAAAACTCAACAATGAAATATTAAAACTGAACCAAACTTTTGAACAAATGTACTTAGTAGATGTCTATAGAATGTTCTACCCCACAACATCAGATACACATTCTCTTCAGCTATAGACAAGATGTTCTCCAAAATAGACCATACAGTATCTTTTGGAAATGCTTAAGTAAATGCAAAGGAATTGAAATTATCCCATGCATATTATCAAACCATAGTGCAATGAAATTGGAAATCAATGGAAAAAGAAACCACAGGAAATTTATAAACACGTGGAAATTAAATAACACCCTCCTGATCAAACAATGGGTCACAAGGGCCGGGGATTTAGCTCAGTGGTTTTGCCACCTGCCTAGCAAGCACAAGATTCTGAGTTCAATCCCCAGTACCAATAAAATAAAATAAAATAAAATAAACAAACAATGGGTCACAAACAGTGTCTACAATTAAATGATAATGACAATACAACATACTGGAATTATGGGATGCAATGAAAGCCGTCCTATAAAGCAAATTTATAGTAGTGAATACCCATAACAGGAAAGCAGAGCTGACTCAAATAAACAACATAATGTTGAACTTCAAGCCTCAAGAAAAAGAAGAGCAAGTCAAGCCCAAAGCATGTACAAGGAAAGAAATTATAAAAATCCTAGCAGAAATTAATGCAATGGAGACTGAAAAAACAATACAAAGAATCAAGAGTTGGTTCTTTGAAAGATTAAATAAAATTGACAAACCCTTAGACAACCTTATCAGAAAAAGGAAATACTCAAATCCATGCAATTAGGAATGAAAAAGGTGAAATCACAACACATCATACAGAAATTCATAAGATCATCAATACCTACTTCAAGAACCTGTATTCTGGGCCAGGGATTTAGTTCAGTGGTTCCACCACCTGTCTTGCAGGCACAAGGTCCTGAGTTTGATCCCTGGTACCAAAAAAAAAAAAGAACCTGTATTATAATAAGATGTAAAACACAGAAGAAATGGACAGATTCCTACATTGATATGAATTACCAAAATTGAATCAAGAAGATATAAAAATTTTAAATAAACCAATGTCAATGAAATTGAAAATGTAATTAAAAACCTACCAACAAAGAAAAGACCAGGTCCTAACAGTTTCACTGCTGAATTCTACAAGAAATTTAAGAGACCTAATGCTGCTACTCCTCAAACTCTTAAACTGAAAGGGAACCAATACTCCCAAAGTCATTCTTGGAAGCAAGCACTACCCTGATACCAAAACCAGAGAAGGATCCAACCATAAAAGAGAACTACAGGCTAATCTCCACAATGAACACAAATGCAAAAATCCTCAATAAGATACTGGCAAACAGAATGCAGCAAATCATCAAGAAGGTTATACACCATGACCAAGTAGGATTCATCCCAGGGATGTAGGAATGGTTCAACATATGCAAATCAATAAATGTAATACATTGTATTAACAGAGCCAAAGACAAAAATCATATGATCCTCTCAATAGATGCAGAAAAAGCATTTGACATGGTCCAACACCCATTCGTGATTTTTAAAAACCTTAAAGAAAATTGAAATTGATGGTCTTTATCTCAAACTGATAAAAGCCATATAGGAAAAACCAACAGTCAACATCATACTAAATGGAAAAAAAACTGAAAACTTTCACTCTAAAATCAGGAACAAGACAAGCATGCCCACTATCACCACTCCTGTTCAATGTACAGTAGTTCTGGAAACATTAACCAGAGCAATTAGACAAGAGAAAGAAATAACGGGAATAAGGATAGGAAAGGAAGAAGTTACAATATCATTATTTGCAGATGACATTATACTCCACCTAGAAGGCCCCAAAATTCCACCAAAAGCCATCAATGACTAATCAACATCTAATATCACACTAAATGGAGAAAGGCTAAAAGCATTCACTCTAAAATCAGGAACAAAACAAGGATCCCCACTGTCACCAGTCCTGTTCAACATAGTTCTGAAAACATTAGCCAGGCAATCAGGCAAGCAAAACAAATAAAGGAATAAGGATAAGAAAGGAAGTAGTTTTTCTGCAGAATCCACTGTGATTTCATCCTTTTCATTTCTAATTGCATAGATTTGGGTCTTTTCTTTCCTTTTTTTTTAATAAGGTTGGCTAAGGGTTTGTTATTCTAATCTTTCAAAGAACCAACTCTTTGATTCATTGATTCTTTGTATTGATTTTTTAGTCTTAATTGCATTAATTTCTGCTCTGATTTTTATAATTTCCTTCCTTGTACCATGTTGGAGTTTGAATTGTTCTTGTTTTTCTAGAATCTTTTTTTTTTCTAGAATCTTGAGGTGTATCATTAGGTTATTTATTTGAGCTTGCTCTGCTTTTCTGATAAGGGAATTCACCAACTGTAAACTTCCCTCTTTAGACTGCTTTCATTGAGTCCCATAGGTTCTGGTTTGTTGGACTGGCATTATTGTTTGATTGTAGGAACTGTCTGATTTCTTCTTTAATTTCACCTATGACCCATTGATTATTCCAGAGTGCATTATTTAATTTCCATGTGTTTGCTGTTCCTGTGTTGTCTTTTGCCATTTATTTCTAGTTTCATTGAACTATGATCTGATAATACACATGGGATTATTTTGATTCCTTTGCATTTGCTTAAGCATGCTCTATGGCAGTGGTGGTAAGCCTATGGTACATATGCTGCAGCAAGCAGAGCCCTCTCTGTTGGCAATGCAAGCCAAGTCACCCCAGCAGCCAAGCATTGGATAACGTTTTCTCTAGACTAAAACCTCAGCGTTCAGGTTTAACTGCAGTGTTGTCACTTTGTGATAAATAAGAGGGTTTTGGGTTGCATTTTGGGCACTTGGTCTATAAAAGGTTTGCTATCACTGCTCTATGGGCTAGTATTTGGTCTATTTTGGAGGAAGTGCCATATGCTGCTGAGAAGAAAGTATAACTGTTGCTGTTGGGTGGAACATTCTGTAGATATCTACTAAGTCCATTTTTTCAAAAGTTTAGCTCAATTTTGATATTTCTTTGCTGATTTTTTGTCTGGTTGATCAGTCTATTTGTGACAGTAGAGTATTGAGGTCCCCATTACAATTGTATTTGTGCTTATCTGACTCTTCATGTCCTTTAGTGCTTGTTTTATGAAGTTGGGTGTGCCAGTATTTGGTGCATATATATTTGATTGTTATCTCTTCCTGTTGAATTGTTCCCCTACCCAGTATATAGTGACCTTCTTTGTCTGTTCTGATTAATCTTGGCTTGAAATCCACTTTATCTGCAATTAGAATAGCTACTTCTTTTTTCTGGGTTCCTGTTGCATAGAGTATTGTTTTCCATCCTTTAACTTTCAGTCCTTTAATTTCTCTTTTGGTTAAATATGTTTGCTGTATGTGGCATATTGTTGGGCCTTTTTTTTTTTTTTTGGTACCAGGGATCGAACTTGGGACCTTGCGCTTGCGAGGCAGGCACTGGAACCACTGCGCTAAATCCCCAGCACTGTTGGATCTTATTTCCTGATCCATTCTGCTAATCTGTTTCTTTTGACTGTTGAATTGAGACCATTCACCTTGGTGGTTATAACTGATAGGTATTGACTTATCCTTGTCATTATATTATTTTCCTGTTGTCAATGCCCTTTTTTCTATTCTATTTAATTGTTTGCCTTGCCTGGTAGATTCATTTGGTTGGGCTTTTTGGCACTGCTATCTTCATTGTCTCTTTTCAGGATATCCTTGAGAATTTTTTGGAGTGCTGGTTTGGTGGTCATGAATTTCTTCAGCTGTTCTTTTTCATGGAGGTTTCTTACTTCTCCATCAAATTTGAAAGATAATTTTGTAGGGTACATCAATTTTTTTTTGTACTGGTGATCAAACTCAGGACCTTGCATTTGCAAGGCAGGCACAGTGCCACTGAGCTAAATCCTTGGTCCATGGGGTACATCAATTTTGATTGGATGTTGGTAGCCTATAGGGCTTGAAATACTTCAGTCACTCCAAACTCTCCTATAGAGTTTGTGTTGAGACATCTACTGTGATTCTGATGGGGTTTCCTTTATAGGTGATTTGTTTCTTTTCTCTAATGGCTTTTTTTTTTTTTTTTTTTTTTGGTACCGGGGATCAAATGCGGGACTTTGCGCTTGCAAGGCAGGTGGGGGAACCACTGAGCTAAATCCCCAGCCCCTTAACAGCTTTTAATATTCTGTTCTTGTGTTGGATTTTTCCATGTTTCAAAAGTTTTCTGCTATTACTTCTGTAAATAGGTTTTTTATGTTTTTTTGCTATCTTCTGATTTTTCATTCATTCCAATTAATCTTAGATTGGTCTTTTTTGTATTAGAATGCAAATGTCCCCTTGCTATTTTTAAGGCATTTTTCATTAGTTGTCTTCTAGGTCTGATATTCTGTCCTCACACTGATTAATTCTGCTGTGTATACGTTCAACAGAGCTTTTAATCTGGATTTCTGTTTGAGACTGTTTTATGGACTCCAGTTCTTTTCTATGCTGGGAATTCATGGTTTGTATATCTTTCTTTAGCTCCTCTATTTTTTATTAATATCTTCTGATCATTTGTTTTATTAGAGTCATTAACTCTTTAATTATCTCTGCTTTGAATTTGCCAAGTATCTTCTTGATCTGTTTTGTTACTTCCACTGCTACCATTTCAAGTATTTCAGCTATGTGGCTTGATTTCTTCTCCCTCAATCCCCCCTGAATTTGCTTTGGGAGTTGGGAGCTTTTAGGGCCATTTTGTTCCTGTGTTTTCTCATTTTCTATTTATTTGTTTGTTTGTTTGTTTTCTGTGTTGAGGTTTACAAATTGCTTATGGGTAGCTTTATTGCTAGTCTTGAGACCTTTTTAGGTAATGACTACTTTTCAAAGATGTCTTCTAGGCATAGGTAGCTATTGGCCTTTGTGTCTGGCCCAGGATCCAACCACCTCTGTTTATTAGGGAAAGGAGGTGGCAGCCTATTTGGCCCAGTACCTAGTTCTGTATAACGGATTGTAGTACTGTTTATGACCCCCAGCCAATATAGACATTAACATTCAGAGAAAACTAATTGAGAGCAACAACTATGTCACTTTGGGTAAAGTAGTAAAACCAGGCACAACCTCAGCATCAAATACACACTAAATAATAACAGACTATAATAACTAAACAGTGTGCCACCTTTAACCATAAGAATGAGACCTATACTAAAAAAAAAAAAAGAATGAGACCTATAATTATAGTACAGATTCTAAGACAAACCAGAAAATATCGACACAATAGAACAATTTAACCTCCATTCACAACTGAACAGTGTTCAACTGTAATAAGACATAGTTAGCTATCTACAGATTCATAAGGGTAAATGGTTACACCAGTAAGGATATGGTACAGGCATGGGAGCATAAAGAAAAAAGAAAGAAAAAACAGATATTGGAAAATTGGGCGATGGAAAATGGGAAGAAGGGTTACACCTTGTTTATCCCAATGTGAAGCACTGAACTCTGCATTTCACTTGTTACATTTGTTTCCCCATGTACTGAATAAAAAGTGCTGCAAGCTAGGGGGTCTTTGTCTTTGCTGCCCAGAGCAGCACTGATCAGACCCAAAGCTTAAAAAAAAAAAAAAAGAAAATGGGAAGAATGTAGTAAGAATGATAATAAAAAGGTCTTATTAAGGAGTAAAAGAAAACTAGTAGTATTAGATAACACTAACAGAAAAAATAACTAGAAAAAGGATAAATAAAGATTAAATTAGGAGAAAAATAATAAGAAAACAAGTTGAAATAGAGATAGCAAGAAAAATAGCAAGAGAGAGAAAAAAGGAGGACCTATTCAAACAAATAAAACAGTAATATTAAAAGGGAGGAACAAGAAAGTGGATGAGAAAACTAAATTCTACCAAAAGAAAAAATATATAATAAAGC